CCAAGCATGGTGGTATACACCTGTAGTCCTAGCTATTCAGGAAGCTGAGGCAGGAGAATTGCTTGAACCTAGAGGCAGAGGTTGCAGTGAGCCGAGGTCATGCCACTGCACTCCAGCCTGGGCAAAAGAAGAAGACAAATCATTCTTAATTTTTTTTTTAGAGACAGGGTCTCGCTATGTTGCCCAGGCTGGTCTCAAACATCTGGACTCAAGCAGTCCTCCTGCCTTGGCCTCCCAAAGTGCTAGGATTATAGGCAGGAGCCATTGCACCTGGCCTAGTTCTGGGTTTGTTTGTTTGTTTGTTTGTTTGTTTGTTTGTTTGTTTGTTTTTGAGACAATGTCACCCAGGCTGGAGTGTAGTGGGGCAATCTCAGCTCATTGCCACCTCCACCTCCCTGGCTCAAGCCATTCTTCTGCCTCAGCCTCATGAGTAGCTGAGATTACAGGCACACACCACCACATCCAGCTACTTTTTGTATTTTTAGTAGAGACAGTGTTTCATCATGTTGGCCAGGCTGGTCTTGAACTCCTGACATCGAATGATCCACCTTCTGCCTCAGCCTCTAAAAGTGCTGGGATTACAGGCGTGAAGCACCTCGTCCAGCCCAGTTCTGGGTTTTAATTGTGGCTTTTCTACTTAATAATAGTTATGTGACCTTGGAGAATTTACTTGACCTCTCTGAACCTCAGTTCTGTATTTATTTATTTATTTATTTATTTATTTATTTATTTATTTATTTTTGAGATGAAGTCTCGGTGTTCTCACCTAGGCTGGAGTGCAATGGCATGATCTCGGATACCTCCTTTCTGTCTGAGACTTCCTCTCTAGGCTATTTCATCTTGTGTTCTCTTTCTCTGTTTTGAACACATAATTTTTACTAAAAGGGCCTCTACTAAGAGCTCTGCTGTTTAGAAACCGTCGTGACTTGGCTGGGCACAGTGGCTCACACCTGTAATCTGAGAACTTTGGAAGGCCGAAGCAGGTGGATCACCTGAGGTCAGGAGTTCGAGACAAGCCTTACTAATATGGTAAAACCCTGTCTCTACTAAAAATACAAAAAAAATTAGCCAGGTGTGGTGGCTTGTGCCTGTAGTCCCAACTACTCAGGAGGCTGAGAATTGCTTGAACCCAGGAGGTGGAGGTTGCAGTGAGCTGAGATTGTGCCACTGCATTCCAGCCTAGGTGACAGAGCAAAACTCTGTCTCAAATAAATAAATAAATAAATAAATAAACTAGCATGACTTAAACCACCATCTCTTGCATCTAGGATTCTAATAGCCCTTTTCAGGGAATCACAGATTAGGAGCACTTGGACAAGTTGAAGACATCTTCTGCCCTTCCTCTGTGGTCCCAGCAACATCCTCCTTACATTTAAAAATCCAGGCCAGGCATGGTGGCTCATGTCTGTCATCCCAAGAACTTTGGGAGCTGAAGGTGGAGGCAGCAGGATCACTTGAGGCCAGGAGTTCAAGACCAGCCTTGGCAACATAACAAGACCCCTGTCTCTTTAAAAAAAAAAAAAAAAAAAAAAAAAAAGCCAGGCGCAGTGGCTTACGCCTGTAATCCCAGCACTTTGGCAGGCCGAGGTGGGTGGATCACGAGGTCAAGAGATCAAGACCATCCTGGTCAACATGGTGAAACCCCGTCTCTACTAAAAATACAAAAAATTAGCTGGGCATGGTGGCGCTTGCCTGTAATCCCAGCTACTCAGGAGGCTGAGGCAGGAGAATTGCCTGAACCCAGGAGGCGGAGGTTGCGGTGAGCCGAGATTGCGCCATTGCACTCCAGCCTGGGTAACAAGAGCAAAACTCCATCTCAAAAAAAAAAAAAAATTAAGCCTAGGCACAGCAGCTCATACTTGTAATCCCAGCACTTTGGGAGGCCAAAGCAGGCAGATCACTTGCATCCATGAGTTTGAGACCAACCTGAGCAACATGGCAAGACCTAATCTCTACAGAAAATTTAAAAATTAGCCAGATTATCTGGCATGGTGGTCCCAGATACTTGGAAGTCTAAGGTGAGAGGATTGCTTAAGCCCAGGGGTGTGAGGCTGCAGTGAGCTGTGATCATGTTAGTGCACTGCAGCCTGGATGACAGAGCAAGAACTTGTCTCAAAAAAAAAAAAATTTTTTTTTAAATAAATATATTAGCCTGGGTGCAGTGGCTCACACCTATAATCCCAGCACTTTGGGAGGCCAAGGCGGGTGGATCACCTGAGGCCAGGAGTTTAAGACCAGCCTGGTCAACATGGCAAAACCCTTTCTCTACTACAAATACAAAAATTAGCCAGGTATGGTGGCACACGCCTGTATGTAACCCAGCTACCCGGGAGGCTGAGGCATAAGAATTGCTTGAACCCAGGAGGCAGTGGCTGCAGTGAGCTGAGATCACGCCATTGTACTCAGCCTAGGCAACAGAGCGAGACTCCATCTCAAAAAAAAAGAAATGAAAATAATATAAAATTACTGACAATCTGCCGGGCTAAGTGGCTCACGCCTGTAATCGCAGCACTTTGGGAGGCCGAGGCGGGCAGATCATGAGGTCAAGAAATTGAGGCCGGGCGCGTTGGCTCAAGCCTGTAATCCCAGCACTTTGGGAGGCCGAGGCGGGTGGATCACGAGGTCAACAGATCAAGACCATCCTGGTCAACATGGTGAAACCCCATCTCTACTAAAAATACGAAAAATTAGCTGGGCATGGTGGCACATGCCTGTAATCCCAGCTACTCAGGAGGCTGAGGCAGGAGAATTGCCTGAACCCAGGAGGCAGAGGTTGCGGTGAGCCGAGATCACGCCATTGCACTCCAGCCTGGGTAACAAGAGCGAAACTCCGTCTCAAAAAAAAAAAAAGAAAAAAGAAATTGAGACCATCCTGGCCAACATGGTGAACCCCGTCTCTATTAAAAACACAAAAATCGGGCCGGGCGCGGTGGCTCAAGCCTGTAATCCCAGCACTTTGGGAGGCCAAGGCGGGTGGATCACAAGGTCAAGAGATCAAGATCATCTTGGTCAACAAGGTGAAACCCCGTCTCTACTAAAAATAAAAAAAATTAGCTGGGCATGGTGGCTCGTGCCTGTAATCTCAGCTACTCAGGAGGCTGAGACAGGAGAATTGCCTGAACCTAGGAGGCAGAGGTTGCGGTGAGCTGAGATCGTGCCATTGCACTCCAGCCTGGGTAACAAGAGCGAAACTCCGTCTCAAAAAAAAAAAAAAAAAAAAAAAAAAAAAAAAAAAATCAGGCAGGCATGGTGGTGCATGCCTGTAGTCCCAGCTACTCAAGAGGCTGAGGTGAAAGAATTGCTTGAACCCGAGAGGTGGAGGTTGCAGTGAGCTGAGATTGTGCCTTTGCACTCTAGCCTGGCAACAGAGCGAGATTCTGTCTCGTTAAAAAAAAATACGATCAGGAAGCATTTCATTCTGAAAGTGAATTTGCTTGCTTTCCCTCTTCATATAATGAAAACAATGTAACTCATTTCCTTTTGTAATCCACTCAGTGGCTATGTGCAATTAAATCACCCCAAATTGGCCAGTATCATGACTTTCTCTTTGCATTTAAGTAGACTTGTTCCATTTTTATCCCTGAATTTATTTTGGGTTTTTTTGTTTGTTTGTTTGTTTTTGAGATGGAGTTTCGCTCCTGTTACCCAGGCTGGAGTGCAATGGCGCAATCTCGGCTCACCGCAACCTCCGCCTCCTGGGTTCAGGCAATTCTCCTGCCTCAGCCTCCTGAGTAGCTGGGATTACAGGCATGCGCCACCATGCCCAGCTCATTTTTTGTATTTTTAGTAGAGACGGGGTTTCACTATGTTGACTGGATGGTCTCGATCTCTTGACCTCGTGATCCACCCGCCTCGGCCTCCCAAAGTGCTGGGATTACAGGCTTGAGCCACCGCGCCCAGCCCCTGAATTTATTTTGAATTACATTTTTTATTCTTTTATGGTTAATTGGGATGTAAATTCTAAATAGGTAGGTTCTTAAGACTGCATATTTGACATTGCATCAACCACCTTTGACATGTCCACAGTTGGGGCTAGAATGTGTTTTACCTACTGTGTATTACCACATCCCAAATGTGATTCCCTTATCTATTACAGAAACATTCAGAACAACTTTGTGACTATAAAACATGTAATTGTGATGTGAAATGTTAACTCCTATTTTTACTTTTCTTCTTCCTGTCTTCCTCCCCATTTTCTCCTCCTCCTCCTCCTCCCCCCCCCTCCTCCTCCCCCTCCTCCTCCCCCCCTCCTCCTCCCCCCCTCCTCCTCCTCCTCCTTCTTCTCCTCCTCCCTCCTTCCTTCCTTCCTTCCTTTCTTTCTTTCTTTTTCTTTCTTTCTTTCTTTCTCTTTCTTTCTTTCTTTATTCTTTTTTGGGTCAAGGTCTCACTCTTACCCAGGCTGGAGTAGAGTAGTACAATCACAGCCACTGTAACTTCCACCTCCTGGACTCAAGCAATCCTCCCACCTCAGCCTCCAAGACCACTGCACCTGCCAGATTTTTTTTTTTTTTTAAGATGAAGTCTCATTCTGTCGCCAAACTGGAACAGCGGTGCAATCTTGGCTCACTACTACCTCCACCTTCTGGGCTCAAGTGATTCTCCTGCCTCAGCCTCCCAAGTAGCTGGGGTTACAGGCGCCCACCACCACTCCCTGCTAATTTTTGTATTTTTAGTAGAGACGGGATTTCACCATGTTGGCCAGGCTGGTTTCGAACTCCTGACCTCAAATGGTCCACCCACCTCAGTCTCCCAAAGTGTTGGGATTACAGGCAGGAGCCACCGCTCCTGGCCTTAAGTTTTTTATAGAGACAGGGTCTTGCCATGTTGGCCAGACTGCTCATGAACTCCTGGCCTCATGTGATCCTCCTGCCTCGGCCTCCCAAAGTACTGGGATTATAGGTTTGAGCCACCCTACCTGACCTTCCTCCCCATTTTCTAAATAAATTCAGAGGGGTTTTTTTCTATCTCTATTTATTAATAAATCCTCTTTTTCTCCCTAGCTGCAGTGTGAAATGGCCACCAGTGGTGACAGACAAAGAGAATCAGAAGTTAATTCCAAAGAATTGAGAACAGCAAAAATGAAACCTGAACTACTGAGTGGACACATCCCCCCAGGTCACATTCCAAAACCTATCGTGATGCCCGATTATGTGGCGTAAGTATCAGTCTGAATTCTTCCTCAAGGTAGAAGTCGAGGGGCCCCATTTGGGCCTTTCATTTTCCAGTTTGTCTCTACGTTAATACTCTGTGCATAAAATCATGTATGCAAATAGTTGTTTATTATCTGAAAGGTGATACATTGAATTGAAGGTACAATATGATCAGTAAAGAATAAGCTAAGCTGATCTCCCATTCAGCTTCTTTTAGTGAAACAATTATACCTTTGGTTTATGTCTTTCCCCCAGAAAATACCCTGTGATTCAGACGGATGATGAGCGAGAACGCTATAAAGCTGTGTTCCAGGACCAGTTTTCAGAGTACAAAGAGCTGTCTGCAGAAGTTCAGGCTGTCCTGAGGAAGTTTGATGAGCTGGATGCAGTGATGAGCAGACTGCCACATCATTCGGAAAGCCGGCAGGTTAGTGTGTGCCACTGCCTAGGAGAACCACTGAAATCTAGAGGACGAATAAAATCTGGCTTTTTGTTTTTGTAAGACAGAGTCTCGTTCTGTTGCCAGGCTAGAGTGCAGTGGCACAATCTTGGCTCACTACAACCTTTACCTCCTGGGTTCAAGTGACTCTCCTGTCTCAGCCTCCCGAGTGGCTGGGATTACAGGCATGTGCCACCATACCCAGCTGATTTTTTTGTATTTTTAGTGGAGACACGGTTTCACCATGTTGGCCAGGCTTGTCTCAAACTCCTGGCCTCAAGTGAGCCACCCACCTTGGCCTCCCAAAGTGTTGGGATTACAGGCATGAGCCACTGCGTCTGGCATAAAATCTGGCTTCTAAAAAAATATATAACCATTTACATCTGCTTTCTGTGTCTAGGAAAGTATTTGAGATCCTCAAGGTGCCTAGTTAAGATAACAGTTCAAATTGTGTAGCTTAATATCTTTTGTTTTCGGCTATTAAACAGTATTTTTTCTTTTTTTCACTCTGTGCTGACTCATATTTTATATTCTTATTTAAGTAAAATATAAATTTGCCTAAGATACTAAGTCAGTCAGGGTCCCAAAGGAGACAGACGGCACATTCAAGCTAGGATAATTTACAAAGGTTTATTCACAAAGGGGAGGGCGGAGTGTAGGGAAGCCACCAGGGGCATTGCATTCCCCTGCTAAGCCAGAGCCCAGCAGTTAGCACCCCAGGCCCGAAGGCAGAGTGCCCAGTGAGTAAGAGTAGAGAGCAGATATGGCCGGGCACAATGGCTCATACCTGTAATCCCAACACTTTGATAGGCCAAGGTGGGCAGATGGCTTGAGCCCAAACATTCAAGACCAGCCTGGACAACATGGTAAAACCCCTTCTCTACAAACAATATAAAAATTAGCCAAGCGTGGCAACATGCACCTATAGTCCCAGCTGCTCAGGAGGCTGAGGTGGGAGGATTGCCTGAGCCTAGAAGGTCAAGGTTCCAGTGAGCCATGATTGTGTCACTGTACTCCAGCCTGGGGGAGAGAGTAAGACCATATCTCCAAAAAAATAAAAAAGAGCAGATGTGAGATATGATGCTACAAATGTGAGCTACTGGGCACACACCAGACTGACAGCTATGATCATGACAAAGAGGAGCACTGGGAATAGAAATGGTCGTTATAGGGAACTTAAGCTTTTTTGTGGTGCTCTTTTTTCCTCCACATTTTTCACATGTTTTTATCTCTGAAATAGGGATTCCTTATAACCTGTGCCATTTTTTTAGCCAGATATACTTTTTTTTTTTTTTTTTTTTTTTTTTTTTTTTTTTGTGAGACGGAGTCTTGCTCTGTCACCCAGGCTTGAATGCAGTGATGCAAACTCGGCTCACTGCAGCGTCCACCTCCCAGGTTCAAGCAATCCTCCTGCCTCAGGGCCAGCCTCCCGAGTAGCTGGGACTATAGGCGCCCACCACCACGCCCAGCTAATTTTTGTATTTTTAGTAGAGATGGGGTTTCGCCATGTTGGCCAGGCTGGTCTCGAACACCTGACCTCAGGTGATCCGCTCACCTCAGCCTCCCAGAGTGCTGGTATTACAGGCATGAACCACTGTGTCTGGCCCAGATGTACTCTTTTTAGTTGAGATCTCATTTACATATCACAAATCCACCCTTTTAAAGTGTACAATTCAGTGAATTTTAGTATAGTTCCAAAGTTGTGCAATCAGCACCACTCAAATTCCAGAAGAGTTTCATCACTCCAGCACTTTGGGAGGCCAAGGCAGGAGGATCACTTGAGATCAGGAGTTCTAGACCAGCTGGGCCAATGTGGTGAAGCACTATCTCTACTAAAAATACAAAAATTAGTTGGGTGTGTTGGCGGGCTGAGTAATCTCAGCTACTTGGGAGGCTGAGGCAGAAAAAGAACTCAGGAGTGAGCCAAGATTACGCCACTGCAGTCCAGCCTGGACAACAGAGAGAGAACCTGCCTCAAAAAAAAAAAAAGAGAGAAAAGAAAAGAAGAAGAAACCCTATACCCATTAGCAGTTATTTCCCATTCCCACATCTATCCAACCATTGGCAACCACTAATCTCCTGTTTGTCTGAATAGATTTTCCTAGTTTGAAAATGTCATATAAATCCTTTGTGTCTGGCTTCTTCATTTAGCCTAATGTTTTCACACTCATCTGTATTTTAGCATAAGTCAATACTTATTCCTTTTTGTGGTGGAATAATATTTTGCTATATGAATATACCACATTTTGTTTGTCCATGCATCATGAGATAGACATTTGGTTCAGTTCAGCTCATTAGCTAATATAAATAATGCCGCCATAAATATTTGTATAATCTGTCTTTTTATTTATTTATTTATTTTTGTTTATTTATTTTTTTAAGACGGGGTTTCACCATACTGGTCTGGCTGGTCTTGAACTCCAGATCTCAGGTGATCCGCCCACCTTGGCCTCCAAAGTGCTTGGATTACAGGCATGAGCCACCACACCCATCCAATCTGTCTTTTTAAAAGAGGCTGTATAATCTATTACTTGTATGATTAAATTTTTAAAACACAGCTTTTTAAAACTTAATGTCAGGCCTGGCACGGTGGTGGCTCACGCCTGTAATCCCAGCACTTTAGGAGGCCAAAGTGGGCGGATCATGAGGTCAGGAGATGGAGATCATCCTCGCTAACATGGTGAAACCCAGTCTCCATTAAAAATACAAAAAATTTAGCTGGGTGTGGTGGCTCACATCTGCATTGAGCTGAGATCGCGCTACTGCACTCCAGCCTGGCGACAGGGCAAGACTCCATCTCACATACACACACACACACACACACACACACACACACACACACAAACTAAATTCAAATTTATATATGTGAACACACACACACATATATAAATTTTTTACCCAAGAACCATTATTAATTGAGTGTCTTTGTTTCAACCACAGACTGTTAAATATACATTTAAATCACTTATCATTATGAGTTAGCTGTATTGCAGTGACGTTTTCCTAATCCTGGAGGAATGGAATGGTGTTGGCCAAGAGACGCCAGTACCAGGAAGCAAGAGAAATTCAGCAAATATTGAGGTTGAATGTCAGTACCATTTGGAAAGTAAGCAAGGCCCATAGGTCTAAGAAGAGTGGCCTGGTTTAGAGGCTCTCAAAGGAGTGAGAAAGGCATGAGGCCCCAGGAATCTGGATCAGCACAGATTGGGAAGAGCAGGAGGCTTGTTGCGGAAAATAATGCAGACAATCCTGACCTGTAATCTTTGAGCCAGCCCCCAGTGGTGTCTGGTTTGTATACTTTGTATCAATACACAAGGGCTGCAGCACGTGGTCTGCAGTTGGGAAATCAAGAGGGTCCTGATTACAGTACAGGCTGAGACCAAGTCTTCCCATGATGTTTCCACACAATATCAACAACAGCCATTACCTGTGATTTTTAACAAGACAGGGCTTGTAAGTAACCCAAATGGCAGGCCCATGGTTATTATTATCAGTGTATCCTCTAGTCCTTATCTAAAGTAGAAATATACATTGTATCACAAAAGTTAGCTTCTCCTTGGTCACAGGCTGAGCTTTGCCGGAGCAAGAGTCCACAGGCTCATTCATTTTCCCACCATGTCCCCATGAAGCATGTGAGGCATTTCAAAGCCCATTCAGCCTGTTTGGAGGCACAGATTGTCTCACAGACCTGGTTGTGCACCCTTGAAAAATAGTCACATGACTTTTCTGAGCCCATAAAATACAAATATTTACTCCAAATAATCCCTCTGGTCCTCACCACTCCTTAAATTCAGTGACAGACTCTAGATAGATGTTACAGCTCATCTCTGCTTGCGTCTCCAGCACAGCAGTGCTAACCACAGCAGCAAGTTTATTCCTTGTCCAGGACCTGTTGTTACAGATTACAGTTAAATCACCAGGTTTATCTTCACTGCTGGCAAGCATTCAAAACACAAATACTCATGATCTCAGTATGTAAAAGAGATTGAAGAATTAAAATATTGGGCAAGGGATCTCATAGCTGTAATCTCCACACTTTGGGAGGTCAAGGTAGAAAGGTTGGTTGAAGCCAGGAGTTCAAGATGAACTTGAGTAACATAGCAAGACCACATCTACACACAAAAAATAATAAAAATTAGCAGCCGAGCACAGTGGCTCACGCCTGTAATCCCAGCACTTTGGGAGGCTGAGGCAGACAAATCACGAGTTCAGGAGTTTGAAACCAGCCTGGCCAACATGGTAAAACCCCATCTCTACTAAAAATACAAAAAGTTAGCTGGGCATGGCGGTGGGCACCTATATTCCCAGCTTATCGGGAGGCTGAGGCAGGAGAATCACTTGGACCCAGGAGGCAGACGTTGCGGTCAGCCGAGGTTGCACCACTGCGCTCCTGCCCAGGGGACAGAGTAAGACTCCATCTCAAAAAATGAATAAATTAATTAGTAAATAATTAATTAATTGAAATTAAAATTAGCCAGGCCTAATGATATACCACTATAATCTTAGCTGCTTGGGAGGCTGATACAGGAGGATCACTTGAGCCCAAGAAGTTGAGGTTACAGTGAGCTGTGATCACACCACTGCACTCCAGCTTGGACAACAAAGACCCTGTCCCCCACCCAAAAAAAAAAGAAAATATGCTGGGAAAAGGGTATGGATCAGTGATAGAAAAGGTTCTCAGGGCAAGCTTTTATTTTTTTATTTTATTTTATTTATTTATTTTTCCTTTTTTTTTGTTTTTGAGAGGGAGTCTCGCTGTGTCTCCCAGGCTGGAGTGCAATGGCTCGGTCTCGGCTCACTGCAACCTCCACCTCCCAGGTTCAAGCAATTCTCCTGTCTCAGTCTCCTGAGTAGATAGGATTACAGGTGTGAGCCACCACACCTGGCTAATTTTTGTGTTTTTAGTAGAGACAGAGTTTCACCCTGTCAGCCCAGATAGTCTAAAACTTCTGACCTCAGGTGATCCATCCTCCTAGGCCTCCCAAAGTGCTGGGATTACAGGCATAGGGCAAGCTTTTAGAACTATAAATTACTGGCTGGGCACGGTGGCTCACACCTGTAATCCCAGTTTGGGAGGCCAAGGCAGGCAGATCACTTGATGCCAGGAGTTTGAGACCAGCCTGGCCAACCTGGTGAAAACCCGTCTCTACTAAAAATACAAAAATTAGCTGGGCATGATGGTGCATACCTGTAGTTCCAGCTACTTGGGAGACTGAGGCTCGGGAATAGCTTGAGCCAGGGAGGTGGAGGTTGCAGTGAGTTGAGATTGTGCCACTGCACTCCAGCCTGGGCAACAGAGCGAGACTGTCTCCAAAAAAAAAAAACAACTCTCAACTATTATATCTGTTTAGTTTTTAGGTTTGCAGTATCTGACAATCTCTATGCATAGGCTTGCATAGATGAAGGAGAGCATTGCTGTAGTAATCTGTTGAATAGACCGTTCAACTCCTTAACAAAGTTGGTATTTATTTTAAAACTTAGAATGAAATTACGAGGAACCTTATGTTAGCTATTTTCAAAAGTTGCATACTCTCAAACTGCTTAATCCCAACACCTAATAACTCGAAAAAGAACTTACCAAAGGGATAAACTTTCCAAAGGGGATGAACATAATAATAGCAAATGTGGTTATTATGTGGCAAGCACTTTATAAGGATCATTTCAAATAAGTGAATCTTCTTAAAACCCTTTGAGGTCATTATGATTATATTTCCATTTTATTAATAAGGAAACTGAGCCTGCCTGCTGTGTGGCCCTGGGCAAGCTATGTATCCTCCCTAAAGGGCCTGGGGCACGGGTGGTCAGGGCCCTTTCTCTCTTAGACACTCCTGGGCCTAGCAGATAGTAAGCCCTCAAATATTTGCCTGTGAATTAAATTTTTGTGTGTGAACATTTTCATTATTTTCTTGGGTAAAAATTGTTTTTTTGTTCTAATTCTCAGTGTGCTTTGAGATATGATTTGAATAAGTGGAAACTTTTAACTTAGGTATACAATATATTATTTTTAGGAACATGAGAGAATTTCAAGAATCCACGAAGAGTTTAAGAAAAAAAAGAATGTGAGTAAAACAGTTTTCTTCTTCAAACTATATTCTCATTGAGGTGCATACATAATTGATAGACTCTAGATTCTGTTAGCTAACATAGTTCCTTTTTTGTATTTCATGAGATGCTCCTTTTAAGGGAATATGGCTGCTTGATGCCATTTCTTGTCATGTCTGTCCTGAATACATTTTGCTGTGTCCTGACTAGGAACCTAGGGAAATGAGCATTGATCTGGAATTCTCCACCTCTTCCTTCCAAAAGATGAACTTTCTTTACATCTTTCCAAGTGTAACTTAATCTCAAAATCAGTAGAGGTGGCTGGACACTGGCTCACGCCTGTAATCCTAGCACTTTGGGTGGCCAAGGCGAGTGGAACACTTGAGCCCAGGAGGTTGAGACCAGCCTGGGCAACATGTCGAAACCCTGTCTCTACAAAAAAATTATAAACATTAGCCACGTGGCACACGCCTGTAGTCCCAGCTACTTGGGAGGCTGAAGTAGGAGGATCACTTGAGCCTGGGAGGCAGTGTGACTGCACTCTAGCCTGGGCAACAAAGTGAAACCCTGTCTCAAAAAAAAAAAAAAAAAAAAAAAAAAAAAAATTAGTAGAGGCCGGAGAGACCGTTTATTAATATTTTCTATACTTACTGCTTTTTTTTTTTTTTTGAGATGAAGTCTCTCTCTGTCGCCCAGGCTGGAGTGCAGTGGCACAATCTTGGCTCACTACAGCCTCCACCTCCTGGGTTCAAGCAATTCTTCTGCCTCAGCCCCTCGAGTAGCTGCGACTCCAGGCACCTGCCATCACGCCCAGCTAATTTTTATATTTTTAGTAGAGACGGGGTTTCACCGTATTGGCCAGGCTGGTCTAGAACTCCTGACCTTGTGATCCACCCACCTTGGCCCTCCCAAAGTGCTGGGATTAGAGGCGTGAGCCACCAAGCCTGGCCCCACTTGTTTTTTGTTTTTTGTTTTAAGAGATGGGGTCTTGCCGGGCGCGGTGGCTCAAGCCTGTAATCCCAGCACTTTGAGAGGCCGAGGCGGGTGGATCACGAGGTCAAGAGATCGAAACCATCCTGGTCAATATGGTGAAACCCCGTCTCTACTAAAAATACAAAAAAAAAAGTAGCTGGGCATGGTGGCACGTGCCTGTAATCCGAGCTACTCAGGAGGCTGAGGCAGGAGAATTGCCTGAACCCAGGAGGCGGAGGATGCGGTGAGCCGAGATCGCGCCATTGCACTCCAGCCTGGGTTACAAGAGCGAAACTCCGTCTCAAAAAAAAAAAAAAAGAGAGATGGGGTCTTGGTGTGTTGCTTAGGCTGGCCTTAAACCCCTGGGCTCAAGCAGTCTTCCCACTGCAGCCTCCTGAGATGCTGGGACTACAGGCACATGCCACTGTACCTGGCTTTATTTCCTTTTTTATGTACATCAGACATTAAAATAAAAGCTCTTTGTACTTCTGTTTAGTTTTGCTGTGAAACTAAAACTGCTCTAAAAAGAAATGTACATTTAAAAAATCTGTAGAGAGCTTAACTATTACTCTGCGTTCAGAATCTGCTATAGAGAATATTGCTGTGTATGATCATTTCCTGGGTGACAATGTATGTTTCTGTGTTTTTCACAGAGGAAGCCAGGAGCCAAAGTAATACTTATATTTCTTTTACAGGATCCTACATTTCTGGAAAAAAAAGAACGCTGTGATTACCTAAAGAATAAACTTTCTCACATAAAACAAAGAATTCAAGAATACGATAAAGTAATGAATTGGGATATACAAGGTTATTCTTAGCCCTCTTTTTTTTTTTTTTTTGTAAGGTGGAGTCTCCTTTTGTCATTCAGGCTGGAGTGTAGTGGCGCAATCTTGGCTCACTGCAACCTCTGCCTCCTGGGTTCAAGCAATTCTCCTGCCTTAACCTCCTGAGTAGCTGGGATTACATGCACATGCCAGAGCACCCAGCTAATTTTTGTATTTTTAGTTGAGATGGGGTTTCACCATGTTGGTCAGGCTGGGAAACCACTTTTTTTTAGAAAATAGCAAGTTTACTATTTATTTACTGCCTTTTTAATGCCCGCTTCTGTGATAGAGAAGCAAGCGATTCCTGAATCAGCTTCCAGTTGGTTTAACCAGTCTGCAACATTGAAGATTTTACTCCGACATTTTAAAACAAATTCAAATGTACTAAGGGCCTTTACTAAGCATGGAACAAATCCTGTGTTCAGCTGTGTCCAATTTCATATTTGTCCATCTCATTTAAATGTGTCATCATTTCAGAGATCGTATTCTGGCAGCGTGATGGGCAGGTGGACTGCCAGTTCTGGTGCTACTTTCCTTTCTAACTCAGGCAGTTTCCTAGGATTTTTCTAGGACAAATTTCTCTTCCTATAGAAATTCCACGGGGATTTCTAAAGGATTTTTCTAAGGGTAAATGGGTGACATTTTTCAAAGGTTTCGTTTATTCCCTTGAATGGTGTTTGAATCCCGGATCAACATTTTCCAACATTGTGATCTTGGGGAAATTGTTTAATCTCTCTGCGCCTGTTTCCTCTTCCATAGAATGGGACCAATAATAGTCCCTTCCCCATAGAGTTATTATGAGGATTAAAAGAATCGCTAATATAGTAAGGACTATATTAGTGTCTGTGAAATCTGCAGAAGTGTTTGTGAAATGAATAAATTATAAAGAATGAGTCTCAAGAAGAGGTCCTTAATGAGTAAGCCCAACCTACTTAACCAAAAGCCCAAGTGTCTGGTGCCTTTCTTTTTTGTGGTGTTAACTTGTGGCCTTAGCCTGATGCTTCCCTGTGGCTCTGTGGCCCCCTGGGGTTCCACATGGCCTTCCTGTCTTTCATCAATGTGACTGCACATCTCTCCATCTCCCTATAGTCCAGCCTGCCCTGGACTTATTGAATTGTATGAATGGTATTGACTTTCTCTTCCCTTTGGGCATCCACACTACAGTCTCACATGATGTAGCATTTCCTTGAAACCTCCCTTTGAATTTTTGGGATGCTTCATCTTTTTTTTTTTTTTTTTTTTGAGGTGGGGTTTCGCTCTTGTTGCCCAGGCTGGAGTGCAATGGCGTGATCTCAGCTCACTGCAACCTCTGCCTCCTGGGTTGAAGCAACTCTCCTGCCTCCCGAGTAGCTGGGATTACAGGTGCCCGCCACCACGCCCAGCTAATTTTTTGTATTTTTAGTAGAGACAGGGTTTCACCATGTTGGCCAGGCTGGTCTCAAACTCCTGACCTCAGGTGATCTACCTGCCTCGGCCTCCCAAAGTGCTGGGGTTCAGGCATGAGCCACTGTGCCTGGCAGGGATGCTTCATCTTTCTAAGCATTATCCTGGCTTTGGAATTTATTCATGAGAAATGTTTTATTTTTGTTAGTATGAACAATAAACTGCCTTTAAAACATTTTTTTAAGAAACAAAATCATTCTTCTTGGATTTTATTCAGCAGCATCTAGTGTGTAGATAAATTCCCAGGTGTAGCATTTCAGCTTCTGCCTAATATAGCTGCCTTTCAAACAATTAATGTTCAAAGAGTTTTCTAAAGCGATGAAACCAAAGAAAAGCTTGTGGAAAAGCAGACGCTTAGGAAGTTATGGCCACTGAATGCACTCTCCAGTTTTTATGTGAGTGAAATCTTTATGCATTCATTGTTCATATTTTAATTCCATGGCTTCCCAGACTGTGCATCAGGCTGGGCTGTGTCTGAAGGGGTGACACCTAGGGAAGCGTGAGACCCTTCATGGGAACCCCCCAAATGGAACAACTTCACTTTCTCTTTTATGTATTGATCCCTGTGTTAACATTTTACTTAAGAAAAGCAACAGTGAGGCCGGGCGTGGTGACTCAAGCCTGTAATCCCAACACTTTGGGAGGCCGAGGTGAGTGGGTCACAAGGTCAAGAGATTAAGACCATCCTGGCCAACATGGTGAAACCCCGTCTCTACTAAAAATACAAAAAATTAGCTGGGCGTGGTGGCACACTCCTGTAGTTCCAGCTACTCAGGAGGCTGAAGCAGGAAAATCGCTTTAATCCGGGAGATGGAAGTTGCAGTGAGCTGAGATTGCACCACTGCACTCCAGCCTGGTGACAGAGCGAGACTCTGTTTCAAAAAAAAAAAAGAGCACCAGTGCTTAAAAAAAAAGAGGTAAAATATTACCATTTTGATAGACTGTAAAGAGTTACCGGCCGGGCGCGGTGGCTCAAGCCTGTAATCCCAGCACTTTGGGAGGCCGAGGCGGGTGGATCACGAGGTCAAGAAATCGAGACCATCCTGGTCAACATGGTGAAACCCCGTCTCTACTAAAAATACAAAACATTAGCTGGGCATGGTGGCGCGTGCCTGTAATCCCAGCTACTCAGGAGGCTGAGGCAGGAGAATTGCCTGAACCGAGGAGGCGGAGGTTGCGGTGAGCCGAGATCGCGCCATTGCACTCCAGCCTGGGTAACAAGAGCGAAACTCCGTCTCAAAAAAAAAAAAAAAAAAAAAAAAAAGCGTTAGATTCCTATTGAAATATTAAGGAAATTGAACATTGTGAAACTTGTAAAATAAAGTTTATAACTGTAAATGTTAATCTTTGAAAATCCAGTGCTGTAACACTGATTTGTAAATGTTGTGGTCAGTCCCTAGGTGTATTAAAGTTTCAGTCAGCTGTCGTGTGTGTGCCCTTTATGTTTGCTTTCCTAGCATTCCTGTGTTCACTGTGCATGTTCTTGAAAATATTTTCACTTATCAGAAAATAAACTGGAAAGTCATTGAAAACCTGTAGGTCACGATGCTCAGGTGACTCACTGTTTCCCCTTCCCCCATTATTTGCAAGAATTCAAAGTCAAGGCCACTGTGACAACGTACAGCAAACTGAGTGGCTCAAAACAACCAAAATGTATTGTCTAACAGACCTGCAGCCTAGAAGGCGGGGAGCAAGGTGTCGGCAGGACATGCTCCCTCGAAAGCCTGTAGGGGAGTCCTCTTCTAGCTTCTGATGGTTTGCTGGCAATCTTTAGCGTTCGCTGGCTTGTAGATGCACCTCTCCAATCCTCCATTCTCGCATGACTTTTGCCCTGTCTTTTTGGCCATACCAGTCATATGGAATGAGGCCCACCTTCTCCAGCACGACCTCCTGTCAACTAATGACATTTGCTAGGATGCTATATCTAGATAAGGTCATATTCTGAGGTACTGGAGGTTGGGAACTTCAACGTTACCTTTTGAGAGGCCACTATTAGCCTGTAATAGCTACCTTTGGCAAGTTAACAAGATGCAGAAGGAAAAGTACTTCCCTGTACATTTCCTTTCTTCCACATGATTTTTTTCTTTTATTATTTAAGATGGAGTCTCACTCTGTCATGCCTCCTGTGAAGGGGCATAAGGGAGCCTCTAGGATATGAAAATGTGCTCTGTACTGCTCTGGATGGAAGTTACATGGATGCATACTTTTGAGGGGGGTGGTCTAACTGTGTCACGCAGGCTGGGAGTTGAGTGGTGCCATTATGGTTCACTGCAGCCTCCACCTCCTGGGCTCAAGTGATCCTCCTGCTTCAGCCCCGAGTAGCTGGGACCACAGATGCATGCCACCATGCCCAGCTACAGGATGCATACCTATGAAACACTGGTGGAACTCTATCCTTGAGATGCACGCACCTTGTGCATTTAACATGAGTCTGTTATGTATCAATTAAAAAATATTTTATTACTATTTTAAACAAAATATGAATTACCAAGCAAATAATTATTGACTATATATATATATATATTTTTTTTTTGAGACAGAGTTTCGCTCTTGTTACCCAGGCTAGAGTTCAATGGCACCATCTCAGCTCACTGCAACCTCTGCCTCCTGGGTTCAAGCAATTGTCCTGCCTCAGCCTCCTGAGTAGCTGGGATTACAGGCATGAGCCACCATGCCCCGCTAATTTTTTTTATTTTTAGTAGACCCAGGGTTTTACCCTGTTGGCCAGTCTTGAACTCCTGACTTCAAGTTATCCACCCACCTCGCTCTCCCAAAGTGCTGGGATTATAGGCATAAGCCACCACACCTGGCCTGAATATATATGTATTTTTAAATATCCTCTTTATGTATGAAACCTATTAAATGGTTAAAGATATCTTTTAATACCTCATATTAAGGAAAAATATATTTAAGCATTAGAAATTTGTATGTTGGCTGAGTATGGTGGCTCATGCCTGTAATCCCAGCACTTTGGGAGGCTGAGGCAGGTGAATCATGAGGTCAGTAGATCGAGACCATCCTGACTAACATGGTGAAACCCCGTCTCTACTGAAAATACAAAATATTAGCTGGGCGTGGTGGCACGTACCTGTAATCCCAGCTACTCAGGAGGCTGAGGCAGGAGAATTGCTTGAACCCAGGAGGCGGAGGTTGTGGTGAGCCGAGATCGTGCCATTGCACTCCAGCCTGGGTAACAAGAGCGAAACTCTGTCTCAAAAATAAATAAATAAATAAATTTTAGGCTAGCCATGGTAACTCATGCCTGTAATCCCAGCCCTTACCTTTAAAAAAAATAACTAAATTTCAGGCTAGCCATGGTGACTCATGCCTGTAGTTCCAGCCGTTAGGGAGGCTGAGACAGGCAGATCGCTTGAGCTCAGGAGTTCGAGACCAGCCTGGGCAACACGGTAAAAACAGTCTCTACAAAAAATAGAAAAATTAGACAGGATGGTGGCACGTGCTTATAGTCCCAGCTACTTGGGAGGTGAGATAGGAAGATCACTTGAGCTGAGATCATGGCACTGCATTCCAGCCTAGGCAACACAACATCT